GCGCTTCAAGGGTGTCCTGTACGTAATGGGTGGGGAGACACATGCGGCCGCGATTACTCGGACCTTCGGTGGAGCTCTCCATGAGAACAAAAAACTCTGAACTGGGCGGGGGGAGGCGCATGCGGCCGCGGCCAGTGGGGTCTTCGGGGGATGGCCACGAAACGTTGTACTGGGTGGTGTAAACGCACGCGGTCGCGGCCACTTGGGCCTTCGGTGGAGTTCTCTATGGGACCACGAAGCGCTGCAGTGCGTGGCGCGGACGCATGCAACGGCGACCACTGGAGCGTTCGGTGGAGTTCCCTGTGGGGCTACGAAGCGCTGTACTGGGTTCGCGGACGCCTGCGAACGCGGCCTCTGGGGCCTTCGGTGGAGCTCCCTATGGGGCTACGGACCGCTGTACCCGGCGTCGCGGACGTATGCGAACGCGGCCTCTGGGGCCTCCGGTGGAGCTCTCTATGTGGCCACGACGCGCGTAAGGGGGGTGCCAAACTGCTTGACATTTGGAGGGCAGAGTCAGGGATGGAAGGAGGGGAGGGCGAGGCTAGAGGGAAGGAAGGAGACGCGTGGTGCAGTCTCTTCAAGACGAAGACCCTTCACCGCAGCATTGTTGGGAACAGTCTTTTTGACGACTGGCGTCTGCATGCCGCGGCCACCAGGCCCCATACTGCGGACGGGCATCGCTTGAAACGAACGAACTTTTGTCCCAATCATCCTGTGGTGTTGGGTCCTCATTTTGAAGAGACGGTCCCCGCGTCCCTCCTCCTCCTCCTCCTCCTCCTCCTCCTCCTCCTCCTCCTCCTCCTCCTCTCCTCCTCCTCCCCCTCCTTCCTCCCCCTCAGCCGTTGCTCCCTGTGTTTCGCTCACCCAGTACAGCGTTTCGTGGCCCCATAAGGGGGCTCCGCCGAAGGTCACAGTGGCACCGCCCGCATGCGTCCGCCACCACCCAGCGCAGCCTGTGCTCCCTGCGTTTCACCCACCCAGTACAGCGCTTCACCCACCCAGTACAGCGCTTCGTGGTCCCATAGGGAGCTCCACCGAAGGTTCCAGTGGCACCGCCCGCATGCGCCCGCCACCACCCAGCACAGCCCTTGCTCCCTGCGTTTTGCCTACCCAGTACAACTCTTCGTGGCCTCATAGGGGGCTCCACCGAAGGTCCCAGTGGCACCGCCCGCACGCGTCCGCCACCGTCCAGCACAGCCCTTGCTCCCTGCGTTTCGCCCACCCAGTACAGCGCTTCGTGGCCCCATAAAAAAGAGCTCCACCGAAGGTCCCACTGGCACCGCCCGCATGCGTCCGCCACGACCAGCACAGCCCTTGCTCCCTGCGTTTCGCCTACCGAGTACAGCGCTTCGTGGTCCCATAGGGAGCTCCACCGAAGGTTGCAGTGGCACCGCCCGCATGCGTCCGCCACCACCCAGCACAGCCCTTGCTCCCTGCGCTTCACCCACCCAATACAGCGTTTCGTGGCCCCATATGGGGGCTCCACCGAATGTCCCACTGGCACCGCCCGCATGCGTCCGCCACCACCCAGCACAGCCCTTCCACCCAGTACAGCGTTTCGTGGCCCCATAGGGAGCTCCACCGAAGGTCCCAATGGGACCGCCCGCATGCGTCCGCCGCCACCCAACACAATTGCGGTATTCACAACTGCATCTGGTTGGGTCCTTCGCCAGGCTAATTTGGGGGGGGGGCGTCGAGCAACGACTTCCAGCACGGACGCCCCCGCCATGGAGCCGTCGCCGTCGAGTAGCGGCGACGGCAGCGGACGCGGAAGGAGAAAAGGGATCACGTGGCTCCTTGCGGCGAAGGGCCGCGGCTCTCCAACTGGGGCGCACGGCTGCAACAATTGGCGAACAGTGCGTGCTGAAACATTACCGCGCCCGCCCCACCTGTGCATCACGACGATCGCGGCTACGATGCGCGGCGCAGGGCCACGCCTAAGATGAGAGACGGAGAAGGAAGGCGACGGCGGCGGCCAAGGTAAGCGGCAGCGACTGAGCATCGTTTGTCCGAACCCTATCCCCGCTGGCATGGTTTTGGCCCCACTGGCCGACTTGCCCCTCGTGGTGAAGATCATGTGTGCTGTTCCCTCCCTCGGGGCTCCGCGTGGCACCACCAGGGGCGGGTGACCTGGTGGGCAAGAGGTACAATGGCCCCGTGGGGATGGAATTCCTGACCAGTATCTAGGGTGGAGGGCTCAGGGTGAAATCCATATGGGCTTTTGCACCGCGGCAGTCACTCCGTCTTGTGATTCACTTTTTGCTGACTCAAGCCTCGAACACCCATCGAAACGGCATTTCAGAACCCTTTACCCTCCACCCAAAGAAAATGCTCGGGAATCGGTTAGACGATGCTCAGCGACAGAGGCAGCGAGAGCTGGCGTCTGGAAGCCGAAAGCGGCGACAGACCTTTAGGATAGGAACGCCACAGGAAAACGTGATGTTGTCTTAGGTCGGGCGTGTCCCCCTACAGGGGGATTTTCGAGGAAAATCCAAGAACACACTCGAGAAATCCGCCGACCCTGTCGGCGTGTGGACCCCCTGTCGGCGTGCGCTCAGTCGACGCATCCGTTGTCGTCTTTCCCTGCGTCTCCGTCGTCCACTTTCCCTGCACCCTCCTCTTCAAGCCTGCCAGCGAGAGGGAACCGTAGCAACATCGTACTTCAGTCGAAGGGAAGGGAAGCCCCTTCCCTTTGATCCCTCCCCCGCCAGGGGGGGCGGGGTTCAGATACACATCCGCCCCTGGGCGTCTCGGAGCCCAAAAAGGCGCCAAGACGCGCCAAGAGGGCCCCAAGCAGGCCCAAAAAGAAGACCACGAACCGACATTTCGAGCTTCCCGCCCCAAGAAGCCCCCGGAAGGCCTCAATAGCCCCTCAAGGGGCCTGAAGAGGCCTCCAAGAGACCTCCAAGAGGCCCAACAGAGGCCCCAACAGGCCCGAAAACATCCAAGAGGCCTTTCAACCACAACCCCAGCACGGTGGCGGGAAGGGCCGCAGATCATAAGGCTCCCTGTCTGTCTCTGCTACGACTCCCTCGGCCCACATACGGAACATCTCCTTCTCCTCCTCCTCCTCCTCCTCCTCCTCCTCGTATTCGTCGTCGTCGTCGTCGTCTTCAGGGTCGGCGGCACTGGCCGTGAGGCCGTAGCACTATTCAAACATAGTCAAAACATAAGATCAACAAATCGTTCCCGGACTATTTCTTGTCCATGTTTGAATATTCCTCCTGTAGAGGGACACGCCTGACTTTTCGTGGTCTCAACAACTGGCCCTCCTCCGAGGGCGGTTTTTCGCCGCCTGGCCGCTCTCTCGCCACAGCGCCTCTCCCGCGCGGCCATCCACTGCCCAGCCTCTGTCCCTGCTGGACCGGTGGGCTTCTTCTCCGCCACCACCACCACCAGAAGTAGGAGGGGAAGGGGGTTCTCCTCCTCCTCCTCCTCCTCCTCCTGGAGCTCCTCCTCCTCCTCCTCCTCCTTCTCCTCCTCTTCCTCCTCCACCTCCTTCCCCCCTCCAACGTATGGTGGTGGTGGTGGAAACTAGGCCCATCGTGGACCCCTCCTCGGGTCCATCCTGGCCGGATCTTCGAAGCGTGCCCACCAATTTCGACGAGGAGCCTCCTGGAGGCCTCAAAGGGGGAAAAGCGGCAAGGATGGCCGCCGCTGCCCCGGGGGAACGACAAGGGGGGCCAGCTCCCAGGGGTGAAGCATCGAAGCTGAATCGGCGACATATCGCCGATAGACCAGCGATGGGTCTGGTCCCCATTGGCGACTCCGAGCACTCCCCGGCGGGGCGGACTGCCGGGCCCCTAGGCTTAGCTCCTGAGCTGCTGGGCCACCGAGATTTTCGTGTCATAGCTCGGCTCTCCAGCGAGGAGGAGGAGGGGGAGGGGGGGGGGGGGGAGGGAAGGAGAGGAGGAGGAGGAGACAGCAGGAGGAGGAGGAGGAGGGGAGGAGGAGGAGAGGAGGGGGAGGAGGAGGAGGAGGAGGAGGAGAGGAGGAGGAGGAGGAGGAGGAGGAGGAGAAGGAGGAGAGGAGGAGGAGGAGGAGGAGGGAGGAGGGGACGGGGGAGGGGGGAGGGGGGAGGGGAGGAGGAGGAGGAGGAGGAGGAGGAGGAGGAGGAGGAGGAGGAGGAGGAGGAGGAGGAGGAGGAGAGAGGAGGAAGAGGAGGAGGAGGAGGAGGAGGAGGAGGAGGAGCCCCAGGGGTGGTCGCGGCGGGCCGCGGCCGCTGAAAGGCAGCCCGGGGAGAGCCGAGGAGAGCGCCCGAAGGACTCTTCAACCTCGGCGATCAGTGGGCGATTAGGTATCGATGCGAGCCCTCTGCTGAACCTTCATAACTAGTCATTTGTGCGGCGACATTCTTGACGGACCGGGGCCCCACCGATAACGAGAAATAGTGATTCACCCGCGGAACACCCGCCGCGCAACAACGACGACGACAGCAGGGGTGAGGATCGAGGAGGAGGATGAGGCGGAGGAGGAGGAGGAGGAGGAGCAGCAAGATGAGAAGGGACCATTCTCATTCACCGCCGAAAGAAACAGGGGGGTGAGGATCAACACTAAAGACCCATCGGGGAGAACGTTGCCCCTGAGACCCGACTTCCTTCGACCTGTTCTTCGTGGCGGCCTCGTCGTCGTCGCTGTCGGCGGCGTCAACCTCGTCGTCAGCGTCGTCGTCGTCGACGTCGGCGGCGGCGTCGTTGTCGGCGGCGGCGGCGTGGCCGGTGGCGACCCGCGGCAGCACCCCCCCCTCCCGGCCACCGCTGCTCGTAGGTCGTCAGCGTGCCGGCGCTCGCAGGCCGCAGCGACCCGGAGCTCGCCTGAGAGGCAGAGCGACCGAGCGCAGACAGAGCGGCGGCGAGCGAGGGGGGGGGAGGGGGAGGGGGAGGAGTAGTAGGAGGAGGAGGAGGAGGAGGAGGGGGAGGAGGAGGAGGAGGAGGGGGAGGAGGAGGAGGAGGAGGAAGAGGAGAGGAGAAGGAGAAGGAGGAGGAGGAGGAGGAGGAGGAGGAGGAGGAGGAGGAGAAGGAGGAGGAGGAGGAGGAGGAGGGGGGGGGGAAGCGAGGAGGTGTCAGATGCGAGGTCCGAGGTCTGCGGGGTCCTCGGCGGCTCTCTGGCCTCCGGGGCGCGTTCCCGCAGCCGCGCCTCGCCCTCGGGCGTCTTCAGGGGTACCCACGTCGTCCCGAGCGCCCGCAGGAGACCCGAGTCAGGAGCTACAGACCGCATTCGGCGGCGGGCGCGGCGGGGAGGTGAGGAGGAGAAGGCCTTCCCAGAGGGCGGCGGGACTTCTCAGAAGCCCTCGCGCCCTGTGAGGAAAAGTCTTCCGGGTCTTCGGGGACGGCTCACATAACTTCTCAGAAGGCCGGGGAAGGCTTTCTCCTTCACAGCTCCCCCTCGCCGCCGAATACAAGCCTCAGCGGATGGGGTCAGAGAATCGCGCCGCATCGCCAGTGCACCGCCCATGCCTCGGCGATGCATCGGCGATATGGGCGATGCATCGGAACCATCGGCGTGGGGAAACGATGACTCCACACCGAGCCGCATCGTCGATGCATCGGCGGTGCGGAGCGACCTTCCGACCCCATCTACTCCGACCCCATCTGAGAATCCTAGACAAGGGTAGCCATCCTCGACTTTAGTCTATCCCTGACGATCCCTAACATTGGCAGGCCCAAGGACGTTGAGAATCGTAGAGATGCGCCCTCAGAAACCGAACGAAGCCTGTGGGGATGGGGACGTGTCCCGGGCTGGTGAGAAGGGTGGTACCACGGACGGCACGTAGGCACTCCACCATCCGAACCTGGAGAGTGTGCGCATCATGTCCGCCTGTCCGGGGAGCGTGCCTCCGAAGGAACTTCGCGAGGCCGCGCCGGGTATGGAAGCGAGAGGCAGAAGCCGGTGGATGTTGGAGGCCGGCGGGGGGGCCCTCGGGGTCTCAAACCGACCCCCGCTTCATCCTTGGGGAGGGCTGTCGGGCTGAGGTCGGCCCTCCTCCTCCTCCTCCTCCTCCTCCTCCTCCTCCTTCTCCTCCTCCTCCTCCTCCTCTTCCTCCTCTTCCGTAGCCATTTTGGCTCAAGGTTGTGGTTTCCCCTGGGAACAAAGTGGATACCGCTAGTCCGCGGCCAGCTTTCGACTTTCGCCTGGTTCGCCCCAGGCTGAACAGTGTGTTGTCCGCCCCGCGCACTGCAGGACATCACCACGGCTAGGCTGTGCGCTGGCCTGTGGTTCGCGCTCCTCAGTCAGCTGCCATGGGGCCCAAGGCCCGTCGTGCTGCCGCAGAGCCTTGGTAGCGCAAGTGGTGCAAGCATGAGCCTTCTGGCACCAGCTGGATCAATCGTGCTGATCACATGTGGTGCGCGCGCTGCGGGTTGCCCAAGAGCAGCGCGTACAAAGCTGCCCCTCCTCCCAAAGAGCCGTCACGACGTTCTGACAGTACTTCGCAGGCGAGGGAGGACAGGATGGCGAAGCAGATTGTCGAGCTTCGCCAGCAGTTGGAGAAGTTGGGTTGTGCGAGTGGCCAACAACCCGCGGCCGCCGTCCCGCCTTGGACAACTGGTGCGCAGGGTGGAGCCCATATCCAGAAGCTCAATCATCTCCTGAGCCAGCTCGACCCGCCCGACACTGAGGAGAAGGCAAAGCTTCGCAACTGAACGCGATCGGCTGCAGACGGAGCTGCAAGCAGCGAGGCCCCTCGAGGCGAACCTCCGGGACCCTCTCACACCAGCTTGCCGCCGCCAGAGCGAAGCACTCTGGGCTGCTGGCCAAGCTGCAGGCCGCCGAGACGGCTGTGGAGAAGGCCCAAGAGCACTTGGCCAAGGCTCCGCAGGATGAGAAAGACGCTACTCAAGCGACCATGGAGTTGGAAGATAGGATTCGTAAGACGGCTCTCGCATGCAAGATCGACGATACGAGCCCGTCACTGGAGACCTCCAGCCCTGGGCCGGAGGCCACCGTTCAGCAGTTTGGAGCTGTCATCTCGGCGCTGGGCGGCACCTGCGGTTTTGCCGAAGAACTTGCTAACATGTCTGCCATCATCGACCGCCTCAAGGCCCAAGGCTGTGCCGCGGTGCCATGCAGCTGCCGCCGCGGGCGGCCAGGTCGCGGAGCCCTCGCCCCCCGCGCCGCCCTCCCCGTTCGGAGGCGGCGGCGCAGGCGCAGCGGCAGCCATGGCAGTCGACGAGGAGGCAGCGACGGCAGCTCAGATCGACGGTCTCGGCGCCGAGACGTGCAAGGAACACCTCGAGGCGCGGGGTCAATTTCGAGCCCGCAGGCGAAGGTGCGCCAGAGCCCACAGCCGAGGTCCTCCGTGAGCAGCTCAAGCGCCACCTCGCCACGGTCAGCGGCGTGGCCAAGAGGCTCAGGACCACGACTGAGTAGGTTGAGTTGGTTGCTGTGGTGTTCCAACTTACCTGCATTCGCAATGACGAATGGTATGTTTGCCCAGTCTTAGTCGCCAATTGCGGCCCCTGTCAATCTGATGGGCGACCCGAACGTTGACCCGTTCGACTTTGATTACGACGACTTCGGGCCGACAGCCCCAGCACCCCCGTTCGTGTCAACAGCGAGGCGTGAGCCTGATTCTGGAGGGTCGATAGTGTCGACCCTCTTGCCTGCTGAAGGGGGTGCTGGCGTGCTTGCGTCGGCCGCCCCAGTGCCCCTCACCCCCGCAGCAGCGAGGCGTGGACCTGATTCTGGAGGGCCGATGGCGTCGGCCCTCTTGCCTGCCGAGGGAACAGATGAGGGCCCTGTGGGTGCCCCCGTGCCTCCTTTCGTTTCAGCAGCGAGGCGTGAGCCTGATTCTGGAGGGTCGACGGCGTAGACTCTTTGCCTGCTGAAGGAGGAACGGGCGCAACGAGGACAAAAATGACCAAGGGTGCTTCGGTTTCCGCGCCTGCTCCGGGCACAGCGCGGTCGTCCACCTGCTGCGGCCAGCCGTCGATGGCCAATGCTTCAGTGGCGCGTGAGCCTTCGGTAGGCTGGTGCCCTTCGGAGGCCCAGAACCGCCGTTCGAATTCTCCCCCTCGCGAGTCGGGTGGCGGCTTGGCCGCGAGTGCCTCTCGGACTGGGTCATCCGTTGGGGCTGGGCGCCCTGCCAAGCGACGCCATGGCATGTTCTCCGACCTGGTCACGTTCAATGCCTCGTCCCTTGGCCCGCTCACCGACTACCTATCCGAGTCGGAAGCTTACGTGGCGATGGCGCAGGAGCACCGCGCGGCGGTGGACAAGCTCGGCGAAAGGCAAGCGCAGGTTAACGACACTGGCTGGAAAGGGCCCTGGAGTTGCGCGAAGCTCAACGAAGACGGCGGGCCTGGCACCGCAGGTGGGGTGGCAGTACTCACGCGCGCCAACATCATGATCACATCACCCCCTGGGCGAGAGTCGCACGAGATCGTCCCAGGTCGGATGTCGCAGCACATGTGCACTTTTCTGCCAGGTGGGGCGGTGTTCGTTTCAGGGTACTTCAAGGGCGGCCAAGGCTAAGGGCCTCAGAACTCCACCATACCCTGGCAGCTGACCGGGTATCTCGCAGTACTCAACGGCACGCAGATCGCGTGGGTGGTCGGCGCGGACTTCAACATGGAAGATGTGCTGAACCAGTCTGGCTGGCTCGCCGCTGTCGGTGGCATCTCGCTCGATGCTAGCGCGACGACTTGTCGCCAAACGGCCCCAGGCACAAGGATCGATTATTTAATGTGCAGCAGCTGGCTGGCGCCAAGGTTTGCTGCCAACCCTGTCTGGGTCCGAGAGCAGGCTACCTCTTTTCCGCGCCTCCCCGCGCAGTTGAAGCTCCAGGCCCAGGGCGCCCCTGCGTGGATGCGCGCGGCCAGGTTGCCGAAGAAGTTTCAAGAGGTTCCCCCGATTGGCCGTGCGAGATGTCCTGTCTATCCGCGGGGGGCCGTGCTAGACGCGGCGGCCCCGCAGACCCGCGCGGCCGAGCAGCTCCCAGAGTTTTGGGATATAGTACTTGAAGGGGTGGAAAGAAAGCTTGCGGCCAGGCGGGGCCGCGTCGGCAGTTCCGCGGAGGCCCATGTGGGCCGTGCTGGGCCTCAGGAGGTTCAATGGAAAAAGCTTTTCTGGTCTCCCCCCCCCAAGAAGAGGACGTTTAAGGACCCCGGGGCTCGCGCCTGGGCCGCAGTGCTGGGATGGGCCAAACACCTCGGGAAGATGCGTCAACATTTAAGTTCGGAGATAAAGCACCTGCAAGAGCTGGGCTGCCCTCGCCCACTCGCCCCCATGCAATATTCGCAGCAGCTGCTGTCACTTCGAGAGTTCTGCCAGTTCATGGCCAACGTTGCGCGGCGCAAAAAGGTTCTGGCTTGCCTCGGCAGTCATGCGCGCAATTTCTTTTCCAGTGGGTTCTCCACCCTGGCCCGCCCCGATTGTGCTGACGTTCTGCGCTCGGTTTACACCGGGGCCAACGCGGCGATTTCGGCCGCCGAGAACCGCTCCACTCAGGCTTGGGTGTCTTGGGCCAGTGACTCGTTTAAAGCAGGTGCTTCCCAGGCGCGCAGATGCTCGAAGGCGAAGGCCGCCCAAGAGATTGTTTCGTCCACTGCGCAAGCTGCATCGCATCAGCTTGCCGACGACGAACTAAAACCTTGGGCTGACGTATGGGCCACGCGCGACAGCCCAAAGGTTCAGACCCCTCTTAGGTCAGACGCCTGGCCACAGCTGCCCACCATCACTACAGGCATGGTGCATGGCGCAGGCTTGAGCTATTCGGTGCGGACGGCGATTGGGCCCAGTGGCCTCCATCCCCGCGCGCTGTATGATTTGCCTGATCTTGTTTTTGCCGCCATCGCTCGCCTTTTCGTGTCAGGTGACCAGTTTCTCACCTGGCCAGCCAAAAGAGCGTGCAACGAGCTTGTGCGCCTGGCCAAGCCCGAAAAAGGCACTCGACTCATCGCTCTCATCCCTACTCTTTGCAGAATCTGGGGCAAGGCCCGCAAGCCCCTCACGTTTGAATGGCAAGATCGGCACAACTGTCTGGAAGTTTGGGGCACGCGGCGTCGGCGCAGCTCCTCTGACAGCGCTTTCGCTCATAACCTTGCTGCCGAAAGTGCCAAGCTGGTTGGCGACATCTCGATTTCAGTCCTTCGGAATGATTCGTTTTGAGCAGATTCTGGTCGAGGCAGAAGCGCTTGGCTTCCCGATGCGACTTTGGTGGATGCTAGTGGATTTGCACAGGCAGCCTCGGCGTCTGCGCGCCTTCGGGAGCTTGTCGACACTTCTGTGCGCATCAAGGTATCCTTGCTGAGTGCAACCATGCGACCGGAGTTCGGTATTTATTGAACTTCCGAGCCCTTAAGAGGCTCAACGCCATCGCCCCCTGCGTCATCCCGAGGGCCCTAGTTGACGACGTTTGCATTCAGTTTGTTTCGGACAGCCCGAGGAATATCGACCAGCTCGTCAAACCGGTGAAAGTTTTCACTCATGACTCTAGGGTGCAAGGCCTGTGGGCCCAGGCCAAACAACCGGGCTTGATAGCTGGCGGTGGGGTTGCTCGGAAGTGGGTTCGAGGTGCCGCAGATCAGCTTGGGCTTCCAGTCAAACCCTGGACGCGTAATCTCGGACATGAGTTGGCCGCAGGGCGAGTGATACGTACCCGAGGGGAAAAGAGAGTCCGTGCCCTGCAGCGCCGAAGAGGAAGCTCATGGCGCCCAGGCATGCAACAGGCAGACGGGTGGCGTCTCTGTGGCGCGCAGGAGCCTTGCCATCAGCAGGCCACGGTGCCTGCCTCCGGCACCAGCCTGCGATGCCTTCGCCGCTTCGCCGCCGCCATCGCTGGAGCTAAGGAACGCGGAGGGGTTGCTGAATACCTGCTGACGCAGTCCAATCCGCTGTACGACCCGCTCTACGATTGCACGCTGGCGGCGGTTGTCAAGTACTCATGCTTCATTTTGGGCGCTCGGGTTCCGCTGGCGCGGGCTCAGGGAGCTTGGGCGATGCTGAAGGGCACGATGATAGACAACCCTACTTGGCAACAGGCTCGGGGTCCCATGTCTGCGGTATGGTTAAGGTTGCTGCGCATCGGTTGGACGATGGTCAATGCCCGACCGCCCCACTGCCACACGGGCCAGAACATCTCCCATATTAAGACGTGCCCGAACGATGCGAGGCTGGCGGTTATTGAGGGGATTCAAACATGGCAGCACGCTCGGCTTCAAAGGCATATGAGCACGGCTGCCTCGTCGACCCATCCAGTTTGGCATCGCGCGCTTCGACAGGGTGCGCAGGCTGTCAAGTGCCCCCGCCAGAGAGGAGCCCCGGCAGCTGCGGGGTCCAACGTCGCCCCCTTACCTTACGAGCTCAGCCGTATGAAGTACAGGGTCTCCCCCAAGTGCCTGATGTGCCCTGTGGCGAATGGTACGTTTGGACATGTATGGCATGGTTGCCCCGCCTTCGTCAACGACTAGGGTTTGGGCCCCATGGGCGACGAGGTGCCCGAGAAGCTCGCAGACCACAGGAGGGCCCTGATCCAGTCCTGCTCAGACATGTGTGGCAATCCCGATGTATATAGGCATTACCTCACCCATGGGGTCCCTAGTTTAAGCGCCCCAATTCAGGCCCCCGAGAACCTCCAAAAGGTGTTTGAGTTCGGCAGCAAAGGTGCTTGGGGACCCGAGTCTTGTCTAGATGGGAGCTGCTGCCAGTCCAGCCTGCCAGAAGTGCCCAGAGCTAGTTGGGCGGTGGCCCAGATGCTAGACAATCCAGATTGCTTGTTGCCATGGCGTGCCATCTGCGGGGCCCTCCCAGGAGCCAGGCAAACGATTGGCATGGCTGAGCTTTTGGCGATCAGGCAAGCTGTCGCCCACCACCCTGGCCACGAGACCCTGGTTTCTGATTTGCAGGCGGTCGCGCGCGAAGGGAATTCCTGGGACCCTGAGTTGGCCAGAGGCAGGGGCGAAGCATGCTGCCATATGGGAGTCTGTTTTCAGGAATTCTGTTGACAAGCCCCCGCGGTTCCGATGGTGCCCCGCCCACTTGAGCCATGCCGACGTTCTGTCCCGGGGTTTGTGTGTCAGGACGTGGGCGGGGAACGTCTGGGCCGATTTGTTCGCGAAGCTTGGGGCGCGCACTCGCACTTTCCCTGAAGGCTTTTGTCAAGCGGTGGCGGGCGAGCTGGTCTATCGCAAAAACACGGTCAGATACATCGCCTGGGCCGCGCAGAGGATGCTTGGGGCTCGCACTTGGACGTTGCTCGACCCCGAGGTTCCCCTTCGTTCCCTTGTTGCCCCTGCCCCGCCCAAATTGTCCCTCACCCGCCACGTGTTGTTTTACAGTGCTGACGAGCAAACCTATACGTAAGTGCAGGGGGTGTTAACGCGAGCCACGCACCCCTGCCTGTTTGAAAACTACTTTGGTGACCTCCAGAGACACACGTGAATGCATGCCGTCTGCCGTCCGCCAGCATGTGTGTGATTCGTGGTTCGGCGTGTTCGGCTCGACGTACCCGCTCGCTCGGCCGGAGGCGGTGACTGTTGTTCTGGACGCGGCGGCCTTGACGGCGACCAAGAGGTCGGCGAGCCGCCCACTCCCCTGTCTCCCATACCAACCTCAAACGTGGATTGCTTCCGCGATTTGGGTCACGACGGTTTCTCCTGCGGCCTTTCTTCTGTTGCAGGAGATGCGGGGCCCACGGTGCGTTCGGCAGCATGCGTAAGCTGCTGGCGGTTTGTGTGGGCCCCGCGGACAATCCCAACACTCGCGCCAGCCAACGCATGCACGTGCGTCGGCTTGAGCGCGGAGTTCACCCTAAGACGGGGCTGAAGATTGCGCTGGGTGAAGGGCGCAAAGGTGTTCCCGCGGCCCCTTCGGCCCCGTCAGGGCCCCCGCCCGTTTCGGTTCCCTCGGCCCATTCGGGGCACTCGCCCGCGTGTCCGTGGGGCTCTGGTGCTGTGCAGGGTGATGATAACCGTGCTGTGCCCCGCGGCGTCGCGCCGTCGAGGATCCCTCGACGGAGAGAGCTTGCCCAAGACGGTGCGAGCTCAAGCTCTGACTAGGTAGGTGTCTTCCCGCCGCCGTCGTGTCGCCCGCTTTCGCAGCATACGTCTTCTACAGCGTCGTGGTGTGGGGGCTGCTCGACAGGCAGGCGGGCCGCCCGCCGCACTGGACCCCCCTCTCGGGTTCGCCCTTGAGGGAGGCGCTGAGGTCCGCGTCCTCCTCCTCCTCCTCCTCCTCCTCCTCCTCCTCCTCCTCCTCCTCCTCCTCACCTCCTCCTCCTCCTCCTCCTCCTCCTCCTCCTCCGCCTTCTCCTCCTTCTCCTCCTCCTCATCCTCCCCCTCCTCCCTCCCCCTCCCCCTTCTCCTCCTCCTCCTCCTCCTCCTCCTCCTCCTCCTACCTGCTGCTCCGCACTCCCCGCCTCCTCATCCTCATCCTTTTCCTCCTCCTCCTCCTGTCCTCCCCTCCTCCTCCTCCTCCTGTTCCTCCCCCTACTCCTCCTCCTCCTCCTCCCTCCTCCTCCTCCTCCTCTCTCCCTCCTCCTCCTCCTCCTCCTCCTCCTCTCCTCCTCCTCTCCTCCTCCTCCTCCTCCTCCTCCTCCTCCTTCTCCTCCTCCTCCCTCCTCCTCCTCATCAGCATCAGCATCAGCATCAGCATCATCATCATCATCATCATCATCATCATCATCATCATCATCATCATCATCATCATCATCATCTCATCATCATCATCATCATCATCATCATCATCATCCTGCCCCCGCCGCCACCTCCTCCTCCTTCCTTTGCCTCCTCTCCTCCTCCTCCTCTCCCTCCCCATCCCTTTTCCTCTTCCTCCTCCTCTTCCTCCTCCTCCTCCTCCTCCTCCGCGTCGCCCTCCTCCTCCTCCTCCTTCTCCTCCTCCTCCTCCTCCTCCTCCCGCGGGGGGCTGCGAGTCGCCGTCAGGGGCGACCGCATGCCGCTCGCCAGCGGCGTCGATGCCCCCTTCCGCGGCGGCGGCCTGGCCCCGCCCCGGCCCCCGTGCCGCAGGGGCCCCTCCTGCGAGGGGCCTCGGCTGCGCCCAATCCAGGAGGAGGAGGAGGCGGACGAGGAGGAGGAGGAGGAGGAGGCGGACGAGGAGGAAAAGGAGGACCAGTGTAAAACCAAGACTCATCAACGATGTTGGAATTATTCTTTTCTCCAAGCTCCCTCTTCATAGGCCCGACAACAATTCATTTCCATTCAGGGAACTGCCTCGCTGGAAGACAACCGTTCGAAGACCGAGAAACATACCGAAACATTGTTCTCGGGATTTCCACGCCACGGATCAACCTGACTGCTGCGTCCTGGCGATCCGGAATCGTGCCGAACCAACATAACCGAACCAACATAACTGCTGCACCCGCATAATCCGGAATCCTTCCCAAACACCGTTTATGCTACGCTGATGATGGGAATCCGTGAAACTCTTGCAACTTTCGCTCCGGGCTACGTTGATCATGGGAATGCGGAAACTCTTGATCATGGGAATCGCGAACGAATGTGCACGGCGCCGTGGCGAGAACCACATGTTGAAAACCACCCGCCCTCAATCCGTGAACCTCTTGAAATTTGTTCTAACGAATATGCGCGGCGCTAAGGCGAGAACCACATGATGATTACCACCCGCCCTCATTCCGTGAAACTCTTGTATTGTTTACAACGAATGTGCGCGGCGCTGAAACGAGAACCACAGTTTGAAAACGTCCCGCCCTCAATCGATGAAACGTTTGCGATGTTCTAACAAATGTGCGCGGAGTTCAAGCGAACACCACGTTTTGAAAACGGCCCGCCCTCAGCCCGTGAAGCTCTTGCAAACTTTTGAAACGAATGTGCGCGGCGCTAAGGCGCGAGCCACAGTTTGAAAGCCACCCGCCCTCCATCTGCGGAACTGTTGCCAGTTTTAAGCTTCAGAATCAGAGATGGTGAGAAAGTCTCAGGCGAAACGCCCGGCCCGCCCTAAAAACTGGCCTCGGGGTGCGACAGGAATGGAGGAGGAGGAGGAGGAGGAAAGGGGAAAAGGAGGAGGAGGGGGAGGAGGAGGGGGAGGAGGAGGGGGAGGAGGAGGGGGAGGAGGAGGCGTCTCCTCCTTTCTCCTCCGCCTCCCCCCCTCCTCCTACTCCTCGTCCGCCCGAGACCTCCGCATACTCCGCCCCTCCCGCCTCTCCTGCTCACCCTCCTCGTCCTCTGCACCTTCCGCCTCGCTCCGCCTCATTTCTCCGCCTTCTGTTCCCCCGACTCTTGCTCCTCCTCCTCCTCCTCCTCCTCCTGCTCATCATTATTCTCCCATCCCTCCTCGTCCGCATCTCAATCTCCTCCGCCCCATCCCCTTCCTCCGCCTCTCCCCCCTCCTCCTCCTCCTCCTCCTCCTCCTCCTCCTCCTCCTCCTCCTCCTCCTCCTCCTCCTCCTCCCCTCCCCCCCACGTCATCTACCCCACCCTGATCTGCCACCGCTTCTCCCCCTTGCACCCTTTCGCTTGCTCCTGATTATCCATGCTGAATGATCACCCCCTCCGCCGACTCGTCTCATCATCATGATCTTGGGATTTGCGATGACGTTGGTACTCCAGTATTCGTGATGCTGTAGACCCAATGCTATCCGCGATCGCTGGTATTGTGCTCTCTTGCACACGTCCTTCTGGAGTCAAAACGAGGTGGTACGCTGTGGTACGCGTGTGTGTGTGTGTCTCTTTGTTCGCTTGTCTGCTTGTCTGTTTGTCCGTGTCAGTGTGTCTGTCTGTTGGTTAATTTGTCTGTCTGCTTGGTCGTTTGTGTGCTTGTTTGTTTGTTTGTTTGTTTGTTTGTTTGTTTGTTTGTTTGTGTGTTTGGTTGTTGTGTGTTTGTTTGTTTGTTTGTTTGTGTGCCTGTGTGCGTGTATGCGTGAATGCGTGTGTGCGTTTGTGCTTGTGTCCGTGTGTGCGTGCGCGTGTGTGCGTGCGGCCGTGTGTGTGTGTGTGTGTGAGTGTATGTGTGTGTGTGCGTGTGTGTGTGTGTGCGTGCGTGCGTGCGTGCGTGCGTGCGTGCGTGCGTGCGTGCGCGCGCGTGTGTGCGCGCGCGTGTGTGTGTGTGTGCATGTGAAGGTCGACGGCGTGTCATTCGACCAGGAATTGAACAACTTTCACTGGAGACCCACGGTGGGATCACCCGCTCCCTGCCCCCCCCCCCGCGCAAGCCCCGATGCCGCCGCCCCCCGCCCAGGGTAGTTGAGAGGAGCGCCGCCGCTGCGTAGATGCTGCCCGCCTGGAGAGAGCAGGGCCCCGTGGGCAGCTCGACCACGCCGCGACCCTCCAGGTGGCAGGCGCAGACGTCGCTCCGACCAGGCCCCCCGCACAGCTCGGGGTCAGGGCGGTGGCTCCAGCTCGAGGAGAAGCAGCAGCGAGGGGGGGCAGCCCGAAGTGCCTCGAGCGGGTGCCGGCACGGCTGTGCACGCCCGCCGGGCACGCCGCTATACTCCTGATGGGTCCGCCGCTATAGTCCTGCCCCTCGGCCTCGGCCCGCCTGCCGCAGAAGGCAGAAAATCCACCCCGATGGTAACCACACCGGGACGCGAGGTCGTTGAGCAAACGCACCAAAAGAAGGAATCAAACAGGGCAGGGCTGTGCAGTAAACGCCCGGGGCCGATCAGTAAACGCCAGTTGTCGGGTCCGGGTGGCCTTTCCTCCCTTGATTCCGACCACGCCGAGACTTCCAGCGCCCCGTCTCGGGGCGCGGCCTGCTCCTCGAGCACCTGCCCCGCCCCGCCCGCCCTCTCGCCGCCGCCGCTGGGCTAGCAGTGCGCCCCGCCCCCCCCCCCCCCCCCCTGCGCGCGCGGCGCGATGGGGGGGCGCTCCCGTTCCCGACGCCGCCACGCGCGGAGGAGGGAGGAGGGAGGAGGAGGAGGAGGAGAGTGAGGAGGCGGAGGAGGAGGGGAGTGAGGAGGAGGAGGAGGAGGAGGAGGAGGAGGGGGAGGAGGAGGAGGAGGAGGAGGAGGAGGAGGAGGAGGGAGGAGGAGGAGGAGGAGGAGGGGGAGAGGAGGAGGAGGATGAGGAGGAGAGGAGCGGAGGAAGGGGAGGAGGATTGGAGGGGAGGAGTAGGAGGAGAGTAGGAGGAGGATGAGGAGGAGGTGGAGGAGGAGGAGGGGGGGGAGGAGGAGGAGGAGGCGGAGGAGGAGGGGGGAGGAGGAGGAGGAGGGGAGTGAGGAGGAGGAGGAGAGGAGGAGGGGTAGGATAGGAGGAGGAGGAGGAGGAGGATGGAGGAGGTAGGAGGAGGGAGGGAGGAGGAGGAGGAGGAGGAGGTAGGAGGAGGAGGAGGAGGATGGAGGAGGGGAGGAGGTGCAGGATTGGAGGAGAGGAGGAGGAGGAAGGAGGAGGAGAGGGAGGAGGAGGAAGAAGGAGGGGTGGCGGAGGGAGGGGGAGGTGGAGGAGGAGGGGGGAGGGGAGGGAGGAGGAGGAGGGCCGAGAAGGGTGGAGTTGGCGTCCGCCCGACGCAACCAGCCCCGCACCACGACGCGGGCGCCACCACGCCGCGCCCCCCCGCACGTGATGCTCCCCCCCCCCCCGCTCGGCGGCTGCGCCCTCTCTGCAGCTCTCCCTGCCGCGGCCCGCCCGCCGCGGGGCCACCTGCGGCGAGGAGGGGCGCACGAACACGGGAGGCGGAAAGCAAACGCCAGCCGAAGCACCGCCCCGACCTGGGAGCGCACCCCGCAGTGCCGGCCGAGGCGCCAGCCGGAGCAGCAGCCGGCGTACTCCGCAGCGCCGCCGCACGCCAGCCGAAGCACCAGCCTCGACTGGTCCTGGGTGGCAGCGATAGGGGGGGATAGGCACAGGGGGGGATGCACCGACCTGGAATCGGCGACACATCCTCGCTAGATCGGCGACAGGCCCCCGCTTGTGAGTCCGCACCTTCCAGGGCGGGGTGGGACAATCGGGCCCCTGTCGGCGAGCAATGAGCGATTGGGGGTCGATGCACCCCCCCTGTGCCTGATCCCCCCTATCGATAGGTCGGGCGTGTCCCCCACAGGCGGCTTTTGGACTGAAAAGCAAAAACATGATACAAATACCCAAAAATTGTCCCAAAATGGTCGAGCAATCCTCCCCGTACCAATTCTCCTATCTTGGGATACTCCTCCTGTAGAGGGACGTGCCCGACATATAAACCCCACCGCTGCCCCCGAGGTCCGCGCGGCCGCAGCAAGCGCGAGCGCGAGCCGGTGACGCCACGCAAGCTGGCACCCCTCCGCCCTGCCAACCGACGGCCCGACGGGCGGCCGCCGCGGGGCCCAGGCTGGCAGAGCCGCGGAGTGAGAGGTCCTATCCCCCGCAGCCTCGGGGCCGCCCCGGGCTGCGACCGCCGCCTCCTCCCCAGCGGGCCTCGGCCTCCGCCTCCGCCTCCTCCTCCTCCTCCTCCTCCTCCCCCTCCTCCAACGCCTCCTCCTCCGCCTCCTCCTCCTCCTCCGCCTCCTCCTCCTCCTCCTCCTTCTCCTCCTCCTCCTCCTCCTTCTCCTCCTCCTCCTCCTCCCTAGCGGGCCCCCGCTGCCCCTCCCTACCGCCACCGATCCTACCTTGTGTTGCGTCCTCGGAGGGCCTTGTCTGTCCCGTCGCGGCCCTGTCCGCCGTGTCGAAACCATGTCGGCCTCGTCGCATCCGTGTCCAATCCGCGTCGAGTCCACGCCAAATCCGCGTCGAGCCCGCATCGGGCACAAGAGAAGACACCAATGTGGGGGACAGGCGAGGTCCCCCGAATATGCAACGTAACCGATCCTACCCTGCCGCGAGCTGCCCGCCACAGGGCCTCAGGAAAAGACCAGGCACACGCCAGGTGTGACATGGGCTGCAGAGGTGTGGCTATGGCACGTGGCCGGGGGGGTGAGGGGAGTAGTCCCCCCGAGACCACGAGGCCAATGCTTGCGCGGAAGCGGGGCCCGCGCTCTTCCACGCGCCTGGGATCCGTGTGCTGCGCTTCCTCAACCGTAACTTGATGCTCACAACGTGGGCCCCGAGGTGGTTTGGAACCTTCCCCTGGGACCAACTTTTCAGCCTGGGTTGTTATCTGACGGCCCTGGGGCCTTGTGAGGGGCCCAAACCTCCCGCCGTGACTTCGTTGTCGCGACGCGCGGAGGTATGAGGAGGAGGAGGGGCCTCTTCGGGATCCGCCCAGGAAGGGGGAACGGTAGGGGGAGAACCGAGCCGGGATCGGCGACACATCGCGGCTCGATCGGCGATAGGCACCCGATACCGAGTCCGCACTCTCCTGGGCGGGGTGGGCTGTGGGATGGGGCCACTGCTGGCGATGAGAGGGCCATGAGGGATCAAAGCGCTCATCCAATGAACCTATCTCCTTCCCGTGTAATGACTCGGGCCTCTGGCGCCCCTTCGGGGCGGGGCGGGCCCCCCGGAATGCCCTCGGCGAGGCGAAGCCGCTGGAAGCCACCCCGAGGCTGGAAAGACGCCGAGAGCGGCCGAGCACGCCGTTGGCACCCTCGAGTCTCGAAGCTCTGTCCCCCCTGAGCGCATCCCACCCGGATGCTCGCGGCCCCTGGCCCAGGTCCGCCCGCCCGTCGCCCTTATGTCGGGCGTGTCCCCCCACAGGAAGATTTTCGACGGAAGAAAAATACCCCCAAAATATACCAAAAAGGTAAAAAGTACTAAACAAATAGTCCCCAGACTATTTTTGGACTATTTCCCTACCTAGGCTCTGCCTAGAAGGGTTCTTACTCGGTAGCTTAAAGGGCCGGGCAGTGGGGCCCGCCCTGGGCGGTTCCCCCGGCATCCGCCCCGCGGTTCCCCCAGTGACGTTCCCTTAGCTTCGCGTTGCGTATCTCATCTTAGCTTAGCTTATGTCATCTTACCTTAGCTTAGCTTCATATTACCTCAGTGTGATCTTAGCTTAGCTTACCTTCATCTGAGCTTCGCTGAGCTTTAGCATAGCAGAGCACAGCATAGCATAGCATGGCGTAGCATAGCATAGCACAACACCGCATATCATAGCATGGGTGGAATTCCCTACCTAGGCTCTGCTTAGAGGGTTAGCTTAGCTCAGGTTAGCTTAGCTCAGTTTAGCTTAGTTTGCCTTAGCATAGCGTAGCGCTGCATTAGCATAACATAGCATAGCATAGCCAATCATAGCATAGCATAGCGCAGCATATCATAGCATATCATAGCATAGCATCGCATAGCCCAGCTTAGCATATAATAGCTAAGCTTAAAAGGCCGGGCAGTGGGGCTCGCCCCGGGCGGTTCCCCCGGCATCCGCCCCGCGGTTCCCCCAGTGACGTTTCCTTAGCTTCGCGTTCCTAATATCATCTTAGCTTAGCTTATGTCGTCTTACCTTAGCTTCATCTTAGCTTAGCTTAGCTTAGCTTCATATAGATGTTGCTTTCCTAGATCCTCCAACTCCTAGGTCGGGTCGCACTGGGATGATGTTTGACTATTTCTGGGTATTTTTTAAATTTTCGTAGAAACTCCCCCTGTAGGGGGACAGGCCCGACTCAAAGGTGCCCATGCCGCTGCCCCCTGGACCCATATCCAGGGGTGTGGGAGGCCCGGAAATTGGCACCAACACCAACACAGGGGGTTGCCTCCACAGGGGGAAGATGATCCTCGATTTCGGTGTTGGTGGTAATATTTCGGTCACTTTGGAAGCCAGAATATGACCACCATCACCGAGATCGGGATCCTCTTCCCTCGGTGGAGGAACACCACCGATATTGGTGTCGGTGTCCATCTCTAGGCCTGCGAGGGTGGGCTCGGACCAGGCCTTCGAGGGCAACGGGCGTGCAACCAAAACCCGCTCTCGGGCGCCGGCGGGCCGAGCATCACCATCCGGGGGGAGCGATAGGCCGCCCTTAAGCCGGCGCCAGCGCGCCCGGACGTTGCGTGAAGTCGGGCGTGTCCCCCCCCACCAGGGGATTCTGGACCCCCCCCCAACAAAAACCCGACACATTGTCAAGCATGGCCAACAAAAATAAAAAAAACGCCCCCGGACTAAATTTGTTTGCTACCGCTTTGGAATATTCCTCCTGTAGGGGGACACGCCCGACTTACGCGCAGTCGAGTCCCATGGATCGCCAGCGGCGCCCGGAGGGCAATCTGGGCGCGGCAGCGCCCTCCGCGCACATGTCGGCGGCGGCCGGCGGAAGGGCGGGGGGGTTTGGCGACGAGGGCAGGGCAAAGGCCGTCGTGCTTTTTGTCCGCGGCGGCATGGGCAGGAGGGGCTCCCCTCGGGCGGCGTCCGGGGCCCGCCCGCCCGCCGCCTGCACGCGAGCGTCACCCTGGGCAAGAGCGACCTGTGGTGCGCCGCTGTTGTTTGTTCGGGGGGGGGGGCGAGGGGGGGGTCCACACCGAAAAGGCATCGATCGCATCACATCGCATTCAGCGATCCGCCTCGATCGCCGCGGCGTGGGGGTCACACCGGAAGGGCATCGCATCGCACCCGCGCAGACTCAGTCCGCTGCCAGCGCATCGTACTCAGCGATCGGGGGGCACGGGTGGGCCCACACCGGAGGCCACCCTGTTATGCACGCGCCACGCGCGAGGCCTGTGCCTGCCATGACTTTTCCCAGAGGTGCACGCCGTGCGGCGTACGCTAATAGCGTGTGCCAAAGGTTCGCGTGCTCCGCCTTGCGCAAACGGAAGGTGAAAGGGTACGCGCTACTGTAAGCCGCCCAGGGTTGAACCTAATAAGACGGTATTTTTCGTTGTCGTTTCGTTTTTCGTCATCCCTCTTCTATTTGTTCTTCGCTTCGCCTCGACTGCAAACCGCAACGAGCAACAGAACAGCCCACGAGATGACCAGAACACCGCTTAATGCGGGATGACGATTAATTAAAACATGGGGGGGGGCGATTAAAACATAGTTTCCTGCTATTTCTGCACAATTTTCTGACTGGAGGAGAACGATGAAAAAATAGTTTCCCAGCCCGCGGCCGGTTTTTTCTGATCGTCATCCCGGGCGCCGCCGCGCGAACACGACGCCCGGTCATTTACTGATCGTCATCCTCCATTAGGTCCAGCCCCGCTCCCACCCCTGGCCTGTCACGCGCCCCATACCTGGGGGCGGGCGCTCCGCGGCGTGCTCCTCTTCGGGGATGGACAGACCCCCCTTTAGCAACACGTGGTTTAGTGAAAACGACCTGGGGCCCAAACCTGGCGGGCGCAAGCCTGGAAAGTGACGGCCGCGGCGCCCTCTCGAGGACCGACCACGGACAATCCACTAATCGGCGTGTCACTGTTGGGGGTTCTGTCCACCCCCGACCCACCCCTGCCTGTCACGCGCCCCTGCCTGGGGGCGGGCGCTCCGCGGCGTGCTCTCATGGCCAGCTCTTCGACGGGCCTCCGGAGGCATGGCACGCGCTGGTCGACCACTCGGCGGCGCGCCCGGGGGGGGGGGGGGACGGGGGAGGGGGCAGGCCTCCTCAGACGCCCCCCTGGCCTTCCGAGAAGTGCTCCCTGTCCTCGAAGAAGCCCTGGGACGAAGGGGCCCTGGCACACACAAAGAAATGCACACAAGTAAAGGGATTCCCCATATTCTTCCACATTTTCTAGGTCTTCGTCTTCCCCCCCACTTCCTATATTTTCCCATCTTTTCGGGGGGGATCGACGATTCATTGTGTCTGTGTGTTTCTCTCCCTCCTGTTGGGAAGCCTCCCAGAGGGCCCGAGGCCTCCCGAACCTTCCGAGCAGACCCGCCCCCTCTGCCAGCGGCTCTCGGGGCCATCGCTCGGGTCCCCGGCGGCCGAATTGGGACGAGCCGGGCATCCCCCGAAGCGCCCTCGGCGAGGCGCAGCTGCTGGAACGCATCCCGAGGCCGGGAAGCCGCCAGGAGACGACGAAGACGCCCGGAAGCCTCGGGCCTCGCATCCGACACCTTCTCGCTTCCCCCCCCGCGCTCGCCGTCGATCTGCGTTGGCGCTGCGTCTCTTGCGAGCCCTGGGTCGCTGCGACCTGCGAGCGCCGGCACGCCGACGACGAAAGCGCTCGAACACCTCAGAGGACAGAAAATCCACCCCGATGGTAACCACCCTGACACACGAAGCCGTTCATTCAGTAAACGCGCCCAAAGAAGGGATCAAACAGGGCAGTGCTGTTCAATAAACGCCCAGGGCCGTTTGGTAAACGCCAACTCTGCGGTCCGGGTGGTGTTTCCTCCCTCGACACCTCGAACTGTCCCGCCTGGGCGCTCCGCCGAGCCGTCCGCCCCGGGCTCGCCAGCGAGTCACATCTCAACAGCACGTTCGGTCCGAAGGCGTGGGCACAAACGCGAAGCAGGAAGGCGCTGCACGTAGATCGGACATCAGCCCGCCCCCCGAAGGCAAAGAGAGAGAGGGGAAACCACTCCAACCGTCCTTGAAATGGGAAGGCGCCCGAAAGAGGACGTCGTCCTGGGCTAACCCAGAGGCGCGCGTGTTTCTGGTGGGCACGCGTATGCACGTGCGCGTGCATGGGCACGCGTATGTACGTGCACGCACGTGCCCACGGCTGGTGGGCACGTGGCATGCACGCGCAGCTGAGCCCGCCCCCCCCCGCCCCCACTGGAACTGCTGCGGCGGCGGCGTGTAGCTCGCCCGCTGCGATGGCGGCGTGTAGCTCAGCTGCAGCGGGGGCGGCGAGTGGCCCGGCTGCCGCGGCGGCGGCGTGTAGCTCACCTTCGGGGGGGCGGCGGCGGGGGCCATCAGCGGCCAGCGAGCGGGCAGAGAGCGCGCTGGCAGACGCTGACGCCGAGATGCTCCCGTTCCTGCCCCTGGTCCTACTCCTCCTCCTCCTCCTCCTCCTCCTCCTCCTCCTCCTCCTCGTCCTCTTATTGCTCCTGCGTTCCTCCTCCTCCTCCTCCTCCTGTGGCCTCCTCCCACTCCTGGTCATCCTCCTCCACCAATTCCTTCTCTTTATCCTCCTCCTCCTCCGCCTTTTCCTCCTCCTCCTCCTCCTCCTCCTCCTCCTCCTACTGCTCCTGCGTTCCACGACGGTGATTGAAGAAGGCGCTCGGCACCGAGCTTCAACGGGCCCGTAGTGCTTGACCAAGCCAGGGGACCCGTAGGCTGAGCCTTGCCGTGTCGATCTTGCCGCCAGCAGCTACCGAGCTCGCAAGACACGCGAGACGAGCCTCCGCGTTCTCGAGCAAGAGACTCACCAATTGCCCAGGCGTCCGACTCCGACTCCGTCTCCTCCTCTGCAGTCCTCCTCCTCCTGATCCTCCTCCTCTTCCTTCTCCTCCTCCTCCTCCTCGCTCCTCCTGCTGCTCCTCCTCCTCCTGCTCCTCCTCCTCCTCCTTCTACTCCTGATCCTCCTCCTCCTCCTCCGAAGAAGAAGAAGAAAACGTTGGCAGAGGCTGACGCCGACCTCCTCTTACATTCCCCCCACCTCCCATCGATGCGAGAAACACGACGGGCGGCTGTTGTGTGCAATGTTCGGCCTCCTGGGGCCCTCACCAGGCCCCGGGACCGTGAACAAGAGAATGGGGGATGGAAAGCCGATTAAGGGGAATGGGTCGAGATCTCAAGGGGGCTGCGCAGGAGTTCTGGGAACGCCGACCTCCTCCCTCTCGCTACTCCTGCTCCTCCTGCTCCTCCTCGCGCCCCCCCCTGCTGCTCTTCCTCTCCTCCTCCTCCTCCTCCTCCTCCTCCTCCTCCTCCTTCTCCTCCCCCCTCTCCTCCTCCTCCTCATCCTTATCCTCTGTCTCTCTCCTTTTCCTCCTCCTCCTCCTCCTCATCCTCCTCCTCATTCCCCTCGTTCTCTTCCTCCCCTCTCTACTCTCGCGTTCCTCCTCGACTCGACTCTGGTGACGCTGGGGTTCCGTAGCGCCTTCCTGCTCCTCCCCCCCCTCTTCCTGCTCGTGCCCCTCCTACTCCTGCTCCTTCTCCTCCCCTCCCCATGTCATGTTTCCTCCACCTAAGGCCAGAACCGCGGACGGTTATCCCTATCCCAGATGGCGTCTTCGTGATCCTCCCCATCGTGCTCCCCCTCACCTTTACGCGCCTCCTTATTGTGCTCCTTTTCTCGCGCCTGCCTTTCTCCTTTTGCTTCGTCCTCTGCCGCATCATCACCCCCCTAATACAGGATTCTCGCTGGCGGCCGCTGCGGCCGATCCGACGGCATCCTGCCTCCCGCCTGAGGTTGTTACTCATCGAGGCCCGCCACTGTTACACCATCAGCATCATCATCATGCTGATAATCGCCATCAATACAATAACCATCACCATCACACATCATATCGACGGCGTCGTTGACGTCATCGGCATCGCCACCGTTAGCATCGTCATTATCAAAACCACTAGCCTGATCGTCGACGTCGGCATCGTCACCACCATCAAAAGCAACATCATTAGTATCATCACCGTCGTCGTCGTCGTCGTCATTATCATAATCGTCATCGTCGAAGTCGTCGTCATGATGTTCATCATCACCATGATCGTCACAATCACCATCACCATCACCAACACCTCCATCATCATCTTCACCATCAACATACACATCATTTCAATCGGCGTCAATAACTGTATCCTCATTCGTTCAATCATCGTCATCATCAATCATCATCAACACCACCATCACCAGAACCATTACCAGCATCAGCATCATCATCACTATTACCATCCTCCTCCATCTCATTAGCATGACCATCATCCTCATCATCGTCCTCATCTCCATCCTCTTCCTCCTCCTCCTCACCATCATCATTATCGTCGTCAGCATCCTCATCATTATCATCATCATAATCATCATCACCCACACACTCATCACAATATTTACCATCGTCGTCACAAGCATGGCCATAGTCATCATCTTCGTCTGCATTTGCATGCGCGTCATCTTCCTTATCCTGACCCTGACCCTCACCCTCATCCTCATAGTCGTCATCAGCATCATCAGCATCATCAACATCTCTGCATCACCATTAACATCATCATTGCCATCAGCAGCATCATCATCATCATCAGCAGCATCATCATCATTATTTTCATCATCACCATCATCAACGTTCTCATAATAATCATTACCATCATCAGCATAATCAGTATTAACCTCGTCAGCGTCGGCATCATCATCACTTGTAACATCACCACAATCGTCTTCCTTATCATCTGCTTCACAATCATTGCCATGCTGACCGTCATCATCACCAGCATCATCAACAGCACTATCATCATCATCATCATCATCATCATCATCATCATCATCATCATCATCAGCATCATCATCATCATCAGCATCATCAAAACCAACATCACAATCACCATCGCCATCACCATCGCCATGCTCAATGTCATGTGTATCGTTCGCTTCTCCGTCGTCATCGTGATGCATCATCGCCACGCTCATCATCCTCGTCAGCGTCACCTCTAGCATTATCCTGAACCTGATCCTGATTCTCCTCCTCCTCCTCCTCCTTCTCCTCCTCCTCCTCCTCCTCCTCTCCCTCGCCCTCCTCTCTGTTTCCTCCTCCTCCTCCTCCTCCTTCTCCTCCTTCTCCTTCCTCCTCCTCCTCCTCCTCCTTCTCCTCCTCCTCCTCTCCCTCGCCCTGCTCTCTGTTTCCTCCCCCTCCTCCGAGCCCGACAGCCCGCCCCCTCGCCCAGTTGCCACCCCGCCCAACCGCCTCCGGCCAGGCCGCCGCACGGAACCCGCGATATCGCCGACCGGGGCGGCGCCGGAACGATGCCCGCCCCGCTCGCACCACGGGCATCCGCCAGTCCGCGCTGGCGGAGCTTGCGCGGTGGTGGATGAAGGGGCCCTGGGACACACAAATAAATATACAAATAAACATATTCAACATATTCTCCCATATTTTTGGGGCTTTCGTCTTCCCCCCGCTTCCCATATTGTCCCATATTTCCACATATTTTCTTGGGAATCAACGATTCATTGTGCCTGTGTATTTTCTTCCCTCCTGAGTGGAGTCTCAGCCTTCTGATGCCTAGCGAGATGCAGGTGAGGCTCTATGGGGGTGTACCGCGGGTTCATGTCGTGTCGGACCCGGCGTTGGTTCCCGACACCACAAGCAACGGGCATCGTTCAACCTCGAACGATCAGCCGTTTCCGAAACGTCAGATCCTTCAGCATCGACCGATTCTGGGTCGCCGGCGGCGTTCAACGCTGGCTGCTCCGCTGGTCGACACGACCCGAACCTACCGTACATCCACAAGACGTTGTGAGCTGATCCTGCCACCGTGCGAGAAGCCGACGACAACTGCGTATCATCTTCTTCGCTACTGTCGCTGCGCCGGCACCACGTTCCCCCTGGAACTCACATCTCCCATCACCCCCATCTTCCGCAACGCAATGCGTTCTGCCGATTAGGATACTACTGCTGGCGCTAGCTATTCCGCTTGATCGACGCCAGTTCCCTCGAGACATCGGCGTGGCTCTGCGCCGCCTTCTCCTTTACTGTCGACCCCGCCTTGATGTTCCACTCCTACCGGATCGCAAGGAAGGGACGCCATGGGTATCGCACCCTTGCCTTGCCCTCCCGTCGCTCGGACGTCCATTTCCCGTGCATGTGTCGGTCTCGTGCGTGTGTCTTTCGCTCGATGATCCAGGATGTTCCTCAAGGGTCCTCGCCGAGAAAAAAACACACACACGTCCGAGCGATGCCAAGTTGCCTGTGAACTTCAGGAGCTCTGCCCATAACGAAGCATCGGCGATGGGGCAGCAGCGATCAAAACGTCCGAGGGGTCAACAGGCTCTGCCTGTCAGGCTCCAACAGGAACATCATGACCTGTCCGTTGGCCTCGTTGCGAGGATGCTTCCGTCCCTGGTAACAGCGCTGCGTTGGTGTCCCTTCCATGAGTTGGACGCGGCGGGGAGGACGAAAGCTCTGGAAATACAGTCGGGGCGTGGACCTAAGGAACCCTAAATAAGGAACGAGGCCCCTTTTCTCCATAAGTTAAACTTCGATTTCCCATCGAAGACATAAGGAAACCCTGAGGCAAGCTGTGAAACAATTAAGGAACACGGAGCCCCTCCACAACGAAAAGGGTTCCTTCTTCAGCGCACCGACTGTATGGCCATGAGTGGGAACATCCTGGGCTTCATGTCTGTTTTCGGGAGCGGCCAAGTGGGGGGCGTCCAAGAGGGGGGGTCCCAAATCATTGCCTGCGGCAGGCGCGCGGCCCAGGGGGGGGGGGGCAGGGACGCAATGAAACACGAAGAGGCGCCATGAGATCTGGGGAGACATCATGGCCCCCGCCATGAGATCCACCCCCCTCTGGTCATCACCCCCCTCTTGGCCGCCCCCGATGCGCATGTCGCTCGCATATGAGGGCGCCGGCAAGTCGGCCATGCCGGCACAGAGCATGTCGTGAGCCCGAGCGCCCGGGCGGCACGTGCGCTGGCCGGCGCAGGTCCTGGCCCGACCCACTGCTCCTTCGGGAGGCGGGCCTGCACCCTTCGGGCTGGGCCCTCCGGCATACGGGAACCAGGCCCCCGATGTCTCTGTGCCTCACTGGCCCCTCTGGGTCCGTGCTGCCGCGCAGCCGCGCCCCAGGGCAGCGCCAGCACAGCGACCGGGAGAGGGCCCGCCGTTGCGGAGTTGCCGAGGCGCCAGGCCGCCACGCGCGCGCGGCGGTCGGCCGAGCGCTGTGGCCTCGCAAGCAAGGGCAACCGAGCGGAGTGCTCCTCTCCCCCTTCTCCTCCTCCCCTAATTACTGCGCCTCTCCTCCTCCCCTCCTGCGCCTCCTCCTGCTCCTCCCCTCCTTCCTCGTCGTCCTCCTCCTCCTCCTCCTCCTCCATATTCTGCTCCCTCCTCCTGCTACCCGACTCCTCCTTCCCTTCTCCTCCCCTCTTCCCCCCCTCCTCCTCATCCCCCCCATCCTTCTCCTCTTCCTGCTCCTCCTGCTCCTCCTCCTCCTGCTCCCCGTCCTCCATCCCCCTCCGCTTCCGCCTCCCCCCCCCCGCATTCTCCTGCTCCTCCCCATAGAACGACTGGACATCCAGAAGGCGGGACGAGGCAGTTGCTGGGGATTCTTTGCGCCAGAGCGATGGAAGGCTACTCAACCCGATTAAAGGGGCCATGAAGCCGGATCCGCCCGGTGTACGGTCAGGAACCTGTAGTTGGCGTGCCGCGGCGGCGGTCCCGGCGGCACGCAACTCCCTGCGAATGGATGGCGTGTCCGCTCCGCGGGGCGGGAGGCTCGGGAGCGGCCAGGAGGGGGGTGTCCAAGAGGGGGGTGTGCAAATCATGACGAGCGGCATGTGCGCGGCCCAGCGGGGGGGCCAGGGACGTAACGAAATAAGAAGAGGCGCCATGAAATCTGGGGAAATATCATGGCCCCCGCCATGATATCCACCCCCCCTAGTCATCACCCCCCTCTTTTCCGCCCCCGAGCTCGGGAATGCTCGGGACGTTGACGCTGGGGGGCCGGGAAATGGACAGCGTGTGGCGCCGAAGCGTGGTGGGCCCGAACCAGCGGAGCGACACGCTAAGCCAAACTTCCTGAGTGGAAGGGAGGGTTAGAAGGCAACTACGGAGAGGTCTTCGTCAGAACTATCGGGCGCTATCAAGCCAGATTCAGAGGCCAGTGAGCGGGATCTACCCAAATTATACTTCCAGGAGCAAGCTGGACTAAGCAGGAGTAGTCGAGACATGCCAGCGCAGATGCTGAATTTGACATCACAGGATTTGCATCCTAAAAAGGTGGGAGGGTCGGAGGACCTCCCGAACGAGGTCCGATCCATCGTGCGCGAGGCGATTTCCTGTGCGAAGCCAGCAGAGCGAGGTGATCGAGCGTGGTCGACCGCAAGAGATCCTCCGTGCGGAGCAGTCCAACTCCACCCCGGCCCGTGCTCAGAACGCCAACAACAGCGCGCCAGGCCCTGCAAGCGACCGCCCACTGACCGCTCAGAGGAAGAACAAGCGGCATGAATGAAATCTTTCGGATGTCCACGCGGATTTCTCGGATTGGCGCTGGACTCCCCCCCCCGGCGCGCGGAGCGCGCCAGGGGCGGCTCCAGAGGCGCCGCCAGGAGGGTCTCAGCACAGACCCAAACAATCCGCGCCGACCGCCGATGCAATGTGTTCGTCTAGACTGTTTGGCCCTGCGCCAGCGGCCTTGGGAGAAGTCCACCCAGTGGGCTGCATGTACCTTCCCTGCCCCCCCTCTTGCGTGCCAGCCTCCGCTTGGAGGCGGCTGGGGGGTCTGAACTGGTTGAGACCCCAGAGAATCGGCCAGGAAGGGTCAAGTAGAGGATCGGCTACAGAATCGATTCGCCCCAAACTTGTTTTTCTCGTCGAACCAATGAGCAATTATTATAATAGTCAGTAGATCTATGGAGCACGGTAGGTATGTTTCGTAAATTCGACGGCAAGTCAAACTTGGGGCACATGGATTCTGTAGTCGATCCCCTACTCGAAGAGGGGATGAACCCAAATGCGCTCAAAATCGGTCCCCGGACCCCTCCCGGGCCCAGCTGGTACCCTCTCTCACCCCCGGACTCCTTTCTGCTGGCCCCGGGGCCAGAAAACTGCCGCCCGAGGCCGAGAAGGCAACACAGGTCTCATCGAACCTATAGTAGGAGGGCACCAACTATACACCAACACCGATCCTGGCCAGGATCACCCTGGGCCCAGGATCGGTGTATACGCCCTCCTGCCTTGCGCAAGAAGGCATATACACTGATCCTGGGCCCAGGGTGATCCTGGAGCAGGATCGGTGTTGGTGTATAGGCCTCCGACCCCTCCACGCGCTCCCGAGGTCCTGCCCGTCCTCGACCCATGGCGCTTCCCAGCCTCAGATCCCCCCTAAAAGAAGTGGCCCAGGGGCACAAATAGCCACAAGTCCCAGGATCCCCAAGATTCTCCACATTTTCGGGAGGTTCGTCTTCACGCCCCACCTTCCATCTGTTCAATGTTTCATGGGAATCAGCGATTATTGTGTCCGTGCGTGTTTTTTCCCCTCCTGACCCATACCCCGCCAAACCCTGAACTGGAAGAGAAGCGCGAGGGACCCGAAGTGATGCCTCGGGACCGTCAAGAAACGACTCAGGACGACAAGCCGGTCCCGGGGAAGTGGTCAAGACCTCCAGGGGCCGCGCATCGAAAGATTTGGAGAAGCCGGATGTCTGGGCCCGGCATCGCCCGCTGTCCTCCCCCAAACGGCTGGATCCGACTGCTGTCTCGGAGCAGCGGCACCGACGCTGGGATAGGTCTGCTTGCTATTCCATTGACTCGAGCTCTGGCCCGAAGACCGAACTGCAGGAGGAGGAGAAGGAGGAGGAGGTTGTGGAACAGCTGCAGCATACGCTTGCCGTCAGGTGCTGACGTGGGCCATTGCGCGTTGTTTCATCGCCTCTCCATCTTCCTCCCTCTCTCCCTCCCTCGTTCTCTCTTCTCTCTTACTTGTTGCTTGCCTATTGGTGATTATCTCTTTGTGATTATCTTTCTTTATATCTAACTCAGTTGATTGTTATTTATATCTCTCTTTATATATATATAGGTATAAGTATATCGTTCTCTAGTTCTGCCCCGCTCTCTTCTTTCTCTCCCTCTCTCTCACTCCTCCTCTGTCTCTCTTGTCCTCTTTCTTTATAGATGTGTATACATATATAGGTGTGTGTATCCCTCATGTCTGCTTCTCTGGTGGCACACGGACGGGAACTGCAGTGCATGATCAATGAGCCCTGGGCGCAGTTTGCGAAGGGTGCTCTGGAGGAGAGAGAGAGAGAGACAACAATCAACAACAATAGAAAGAGAAAATATGATAACCAAATTAGATAACGAGGAACATAACGGGAACGCGCTGAAACCATGCACAGGTGCAGGTAGATATTGAGGCATGGGGCTGGGCAGAGCAGAAGAAGCACAGCTGACGGGATCGGAGAGGAGAGGGGGCGGGAGAGATTGTCAGGAGGCGAATCTCTGGATGAGGGGAGGCGAGACCGGGTGGCAAAATGGCTCAGGGCGAGGCGGGGGGAGGGACAGTTCCGGTCAGGAATTTGGGATAGCGTTTCGCTCCGCCGGTTCTGGCCCACCATGCTCCAGACAGAGCGACACGCTATCAATTTCCCCGCCCCCCGCAGCGCCAACGTCTCGAGCACTTGTTCATCTGAGCGGCACAAAATAAGCGGGGTCGCCTGCGCCTCGTCTGCGACGACATTGGCGCGTGAGCTGCCCGCGTGTGGTCGCGACTCAGCGCCCTCGTCTCCAATGTGGTGTGCCGCGTCGGCTGCCCGCGTAGTGAGCCACCGCGTAAGGTCGCGACGTCATCTTGCGTGAGGCCCGTTTTCGATGGTCGCTCACACCCCGCCCCGCGGAGCGGAGCGGCACGCTGTCTGCTCGCTTGGCTCCAGCGCGTGGCGGGGCCGCCGTGGCGACACGTCACGCAGTCACGGCCGCAGAGAGGAGGGGAGGCGCGCGCGGGCGGCTTCCGCACCTCCCGCCCCGTGGAGCGGGGCGGAGGAGGCAAGAGGAGGTGGAGGAGGAGGAGGAGGACGAGGAGGAGGAGGAGGAGGAGGAGGAGGAGGAGGAGGAGGAGGAGGGAGGAGGAGGCGAGGAGAGGCGAGGAGGAGGAGGAGGAGGAGGAGAAGCAGGAGGAGGAGGAGGAGGAGGAGGAGGAGGAGGAGGAGAAGCAGGAGGAGGAGGAGGAGAGGCGGGGATTCGCTCGCGTGGCCCTGGCGTGTCGCGGGGCCGCAGCAGCGGCACGCCAGGCGAGCAGTCTCCCGACCGCGGAGGCGAGGGGGAGGCGGGAGCGGGACGGCGGAGCGGCGCAGAGGGGGAGAGCAGAACTGGAGCGCGGAGGGCGGAGGAGGACGGGGGGAGGGAGAGAGGACGGCGAGGAGGACGGGGGAGGGAGACGACGTGGGAGGACGGAGGACGGAGGACGAGGGAGAGAGGACGACGACGTGGGCGGAGGAGGACGGGGGGAGGGAGAGAGGACGGCGAGGAGGAGAACGGGAGGGAGGGAGGGGTGGGGGGTTCGGAGCGCCTGGGGCCCGGCGAGGGCCCCGGGAGGCCGAACATCGCCCCAAACCGCCCGCCACCACTTTTTGGAAGCGTCGGCTCTCTGGGGATGCTGGACCCTTGCAAGGTCTTCTGTTGCATCATCGGGGGACCTTGTCTGTCCCGTCGCGGCCATATCCGCGTCGAATCCGTGTCGCATCCATGTCGGCCTTGTCGGATCCGTGTCGAACCTGTGTCGAATCCGCGTCGAATCTACGCCAAATTCGCGTCGAGTCAGCATCAAGCCCGCGGCGGGCACAAAAACAGACACCATTTTTCGGGACAGGCGAGGCCCCCCGAAGATGCCACGCAAAAGGCCCTGTGGGGGGCAGCCCTGGGCCTTGAACCCACGAGGCGGGCACGCCTGGGAAGAACAAGACCGGCCACCTCACAGGAACAAGGAAAGGCGACACCAGCACCACCAGGGCGAGGAGATGCGAGGAGCCAGGGGGGCCTCCCTGGTGGCGTGGCCCCCCCCTCTCGCTCGAGACACCCCCTAGCCCCAGCCCGGGAATGCATCGTGGACCTCCTCGCTGGAGGTGGCCCCCCCCCGGTGGTGTTGGTGCCGCATGTCCTCCCTTCTGACCTCACCGCCCACCTGCGCGCGAGGGCGCCGAATGAAGGCTCCCACTCCCGCCCTCACCGACGCGGCTGCCCCGCGGGGCCCCCTCGGGGCCGCCAGGGGGCCGCCGGAGCGGCGTGCAGGGGCCCCATCTGGGGCTCGCCTGCCCACCACCGCGCGAGCACAGTCAACCCGCATCAGAAGGATGCGCGTGGAGGATTGCCCACATGAGCGTTTTTCGAACGCAGCTGGTCAGCGATCGTCGCCAAGGATGGACCGAACGGGCAAGGATGCAATGGCACCCTTGGGAAGGTTGCCCATCCTCACTGTGCGGGAAGACAGTAGGGGATGGACTGCAGAATCGACTTGCCCCAAGCTTGATTGCCCGTCGAGCCTACGATACGTGCCTACAGTTCTCCGTAGGTCTGCGGACTACTCTGAGTACTTTTCCATCGGCGGTGAACAAAACTCCCTTTAATACACCACCCTTTAGTGAAAACGGCCTAGGACCGAAACCGACGGACCTGGACCCGCAAACATGACGGCCGCGACGCGCTCTCGCGAACCGAAAATTGGCCAATTCGCTATAATCGACGTGTCAGGGTAGGCCCTGGAGGCCGATCAACCTCCGATTCTTATGGGTTCGACGAGAAAACAAATTCTGGGGCACATCCACTCTGTAGCCGGTCCCCTACTTGAGCCGCGCCTTCACGACCGACCAGCCATAACTGGGGGAGCTGTGGTCCTCACCCCCCCTGGGGGAACCCGTCGCATCGACGACCTCTCGATGAGGGGTGTCGACATCGATGGGTCCCCCAGAAGGGGGTGCGGACCACAGCTCCCCCAGTTGTGGCTGGCCTGCACGAGGAGCCCCCGACGCACCGCCAGCCACCCCCGCTGGCTGGAGGAGGAGGAGGAGGAGGAGGAGGAGGAGGAGGAGGAGGAGGAGGAGAGGCGCCAAGGCCCGAGGCCGGGCAAGGCAGCCCAGGACCCGCGGCCGCGCCCAAGCGCGGCGCCACGGGCGCCCGCGGCCCGCAGCCATAGTCGCGGGGAACCCCAACCCGCGCCCTGCGCCCAGCCTCCCCCTGCGAGGTCAAGCGCACCACCACCAGCAGTACTTATAGTCTCTTTGGTGGAATTGTGGGCCTGGAGTGCCAGCAGCAGTCAGTATCAAGCGACCAAGGTCGCCAGCCTGGCATAGGAGGACGAGACGGACGAGGGCATCTGCCAGAGTTCTCCTACGATTGCACAAAGCAGCGACACTACTACGACTACATCACTCAGCAATGGCCAGCCCTGGAGAACAGCGTCAGCGTTCCAACTCCCGAAGGCAGAGACAGCATTCACAAACGCGAGGGCAGCGTGATTCACTGGGTGGACGGCATGAAGGCAGATGGAAGTGCAGTACGTGTGGATTGTCAAACCCCTGGTCATGCAACAGGTGCTCATGTTGGACAAGGGGACAAGCAGGGCAGAGACAACACACTCCCAGGGGCAACAGACGCAAGCCAGACAAAGAAAAAGCACCACCCAAGCGCTCTGCCGAGTTACAGAAGATGATTGACGGGGTTCCGATTGCCACACCA